TAATATAATATAATATAATATAATATCGTATCGTATCATATCATATCATATCAAATCAGCCTTCTAAGAACTCAGAGTCAGATCCTCACCTCTTCCCTTGCCCTGGGACCCTCACAAACCCCCAGGACCCTCACAAACAAACACCCGGGACCCTCACAAACACCCGGGACCCTCACAAACAAACAAACACCCGGGACCCTCACAAACAAACACCCAGGTCCCTCACAAACAAACACCTGGGACCCTCACAAACAACCACCCAGGACCCTCACAAACACCCAGGACCCTCACAAACCCCCGGGACCCTCACAGACAAACACCTGGGACCCTCACAAACACCCAGGACCCTCACAAACCCCCGGGACCCTCACAAACAAACACCCGGGACCCTCACAAACACCCGGGACCCTCACAAACAAACACCTGGGACCCTCACAAACAAACACCTGGGACCCTCACAAACCCCCGGGACCCTCACAAACCCCCGGGACCCTCACAAACAAACCCCCGGGACCCTCACAAACCCCCGGGACCCTCACAAACAAACCCCCGGGACCCTCACAAACCCCCGGGACCCTCACAAACAAACCCCCGGGACCCTCACAAACCCCCGGGACCCTCACAAACAAACCCCCGGGACCCTCACAAACCCCCGGGACCCTCACAAACACCCCCACCCCCCGATCCCGCGCTGCCCACCTGTGTGACGAGGATGTCCCCGAGGCGGTCGATGACGAAGTTCTTGTTGCTGTCCTGGGCCAGCGACTCGCGGCGCCGCTCCAGCAGCTGGGCCAGGAAGCGCTCGTGGATGTGGCTGAGCTCGTCGAGGCAGGGGAAGATGCGCTGCACGGTGCCGGGGTCCAGCTGCAGCTCCTCCAGCATCGCCCTGCGGAACAGGGCGCCCATGATCTTCAGCGTCCGCACGTGGTGCAGCTCCGTCTGCATCAGCTCTGCACGGGGGCATGGCGCCGTCACCAGGGCGCGGGGACACGCCGCGGGGACGGGGATGGGGACAGGGACAGACCACAGGGACACACCGCGGGGACGGGGACGGGGACAGGGACACACCACGGGGACACGCCGCGGGGACAGGGACACGCCAAGGCGACACGCCGCGGGGACGGGGACGGGGACAGGGATAGGGACAGGGACAGGGACACACCACGGGGACACACCGTGGGGACTGGGACACGCCGCGGGGACGGGGATGGGGACAGGGACACACCACAGGGACACACCGCGGGGACGGGGACGGGGACAGGGACACACCACGGGGACACGCCACGGGGATGGGGACGGGGACAGGGACAGGGATAGGGACACACCACGGGGACGGGGATGGGGACAGGGACACACCACGGGGACACACCGCGGGGACGGGGACGGGGACAGGGATAGGGACAGGGACACACCACGGGGACACACCACGGGGACGGCGACACGCCGTGGGGACGGGGACACATCCCTAGGGACAGGGACACGCCATGGGGACATGCCACGGGAATGGGGACACACCACAGGGACAGGGACACACCACGGGGACACGCCACGGGGACAGGGACAGGGACAAGGACAGGGACATACCCCCAGGGACAGGGACATGCCACGGGGACATGCCATGGGCATGGGGACACGCCACGGGAATGGGGACACACCACAGGGACAGGGACACACCACGGGGACACGCCACGGGGACAGGGACAGGGACAAGGACAGGGACATACCCCCAGGGACAGGGACATGCCACGGGGACATGCCATGGGCATGGGGACACGCCACGGGAATGGGGACACACCACAGGGACAGGGACAGCACCCCCAGACACAGCACCCCAAGGGACAGGGACACAACCCTAGGGACAGGGACACACCCCAGGGACAGGGACAGCACCCTAACAGCACAGAGGGAGCAGGACCCCAGGGACAGCCACCCAGCCTGGCCCTGTGTCCTCATGACTGCCTCCCTGTCCCTGCACCCTCCGTCCTGTCCCTTTGTCCCCATTCCTGCTTCTCCAACCTCTTCCTGTGTCCCCATGTCCCCTGTCCCTGTGTCCCCATGTCCCCCTGTCTTCTGTCCCCATGTCCCCCTGTCTTCTGTCCCCCTGTCCCTGTGTCCCCTGTCCCTGTGTCCCCTGTCCCTGTGTCTTCTGTCCCTGTGTCCCCAGTCCCTGTCCCTGTGTCCCCATATTCCCATGTCCCTGTGTCCCCATGTCCCATGTCCCCATATCACCACGTCCCATGTCCCCTGTCCCTGTGTCCCCTGTCCCCATGTCCCCTGTCCCCATGTCCCTGTGTCCCCATGTCCCATGTCCCCATGTCCCCATGTTCCCTGTCCCCCTGTCCCCTGTCCCCATATCACCACATCCCATGTCCCCTGTCCCTGTGTCCC